CCCAGCCAGGGTCAACCCACCACACCAGCAATCTACAGTCCCTACTGCTACCCTTTTTTACGGGATACATTCACACTTTTTTAGGCTTGCCACACTAAGACACATGTGAAGTGTCTTTAAAAGTACTTTTTAAAAAACCCCAAATCTTGGCTACAGTATATATACCTTCTTAGAGCTGGTAACATGTCAGAAGTTTAAAGCACTCCTGGCACAGGTTGCTCAAGCCCTCAACAGGATATTGCTTCTGCTGGGACCATCCACGCTGGCATGTGCATGCAAGGCATATGATGCTCCTACTCATGAGTGACAAAGGGATTTTCGCTGGTGAGGCCAAACATCTGACATAAAGAAATTTGTCAGAATCACTCTCCTGCCAGCACGCAGAGCAAGTGGAATCAGAGACAGGGCAAGGAGCAAACACATGTGGAAAAAAAAAAAAAGATGTTTTTCACTCAGTCTTCTAGACAGTTATTGTAAGGCTTTCATAGCCCTTGTAATGGAAAGATGGGTATTCTGGATACTTGTGTTTCATACAAGTCCATAGGCACAAAGGTCAGCATGTCTCTACGACTGCAACCTCCATGCAGGCAGACTCAGACCTTTATCCTGGAAGTCAGTCCCGATGCTGTCAGCCATTGCAGTAAGGCACAGAAGTACAAACCATGAAGCAAATAATTTTCACATGGATTAACTCAGGAAAAAATAATCCACTCCTTGATTTATTTTTCCACTTTATTATGGCAACATGAAGTAGTTGGCTTTGATGATGTGTGTTGTAGAAACCCTCTTTTGAAAAGTACTACACATTGTTCTACTTCAGCTTTGAGAGGACTGATCCAAGGGCTCTGTTTGACTGATGGTTTACGTCTTGCAGTTTGAGACTGAAACTGTTTGTTTCGTATCTGCTTTCTGCCTTTTTGCTGGAATGGACGCCCAAAATGGCTGTAACAAGCCTTCAGTCCATTCCAAAAAAGCAATGTGAATCCTTGAGCACAGCATGGTTGGCTTCCCAAAACAATCGCAACAAATCTAGGGCTGGGGCATAAGCTCCAGGAAAGGAGAGGCTTCACCCCGCAGAAAGCAAGAGGGCAGATATTGACTGACACCAGCTATTTCAGTACTAGGCTGTGCCTATTTCCATGAACATGGACACCGATTGCCACGCAATCTCTTCAGTGCAGCTAATGGAAGCTTGTAATAGATATGGGGAGCAGGAATGTTGACAAGGACAGATGAACTCTGATTTCCAGACATGAGTCAAGCTTTCAAAACCATTAATGCTTTGTCTAACAGCTAGTTATAGTTTATGGAGCATTAGAAATGCCAAATATAAATCTTAACACCAATAATAGTATGACTATGTAACTAGGGAAGCCAGAAATCTGCAATGCTCCCACTCTCCTCATTTCAGGGATGATTATTCTGCCTCTTATTGGGCACCTATTCATATTTACCACATCATTACCGTGATCATTTCCTAAAACACTCTGTGATTCTGCTGCTTTACTTGCCTTGCTTGAATCAATACATTTAGTCTTCATGTCACAATTTCATGATTAGCCCAGCTGGTCTGCACTTACATTCATTCACTGCCACCCAGTCTGACTCCTACTCACATTTGGTTTATGTCACGTTGTTAACAGGACTTTATACCCTGCATATTTTTGTTGACACACTTAAGATTTGTAACACACCACACTAGGGCCAATTAACTAACTCTTCATCAGACTCTGTTGGTATGGATCTGATATTCTGGTAAGAAGAAGTCATTCAATTATTTGCATTGTTCTTCAACTCATACATACATTGGGTTTCTTATTCCTTGCTTGAAACTCTTCAGATGCTATCTTGCCTTTGATAAACAACATGACTGTATTTTTGTCCAATGGACTCATTTTGTATGTGTTAGGTAACTAATAATGTAGGTTTTTCTCTGGAAAATCAACACGTGAAAGTGGTGTTAATTTTAAGATAATAGGAGAAAGTAAGTCTTCTTAAACCAGAAAATTAATATTAAAAGCTCCATTTAAAATACATTACAACATAATAAAAAGATAGCTGTTCATCCCTCAGCCAACCATAACTTTGGCTCGTCCAAGCAACTTATGGGGGAAAAAAAATAGATTTTTAAGAATATTTTTAACAAACTGGATCAGCAAATATTATTGTACATAACCAAAACAGCATTATACTACATATTTCATGTTTGTGGTTTGAGTGTGAGGTTCCTCAAGTTTGGATGTTTCAATTTCTTTTAACTTTGAATTTCCTGAGTATGCATAATGGTGATGCTTATACTTTTAAACTACTCAGCCCTAACTTCAAATCAAATTTGTTGAGCTATAATTTTAAATTAAAAAACAGATATAATATTCATTAATACCCTGATGGAACAGTTGCTATCGTTAGTCTAGGACCCCACTTTTTATAACTGATACTTTAATCCTCTTGGCCAATTAACCAATTAAATTACTATTCTACCTAAATTCAGAAAGAAGAGGAATATAAAAAAGATAGTGAATACTATTATGTTTACATTTTGGTAAGCTCTTGTTCACTGTAAAGCAGCATCATATTAAAAGTTTCCAGTAAAATACACTCTAGAGCAAAACAGACAAAAAGAAACTCTGTAACCCACCTCATATTCCCTGCCATAATGAGGAACAGATTATAAATGTGAGAAAAAATGAAGAGGAAGAGGATGGTACTGAAGAACATCGTCATCCAAGACCCGTGGTCCTCTCGAAACATTTTCAGACGGAGCAACTGACCTGTGGTATGAATATTATGAGAAAGTATATTTTAGTCAGTCAGTAAATACATGTTTACATGATTACAAAACCAAAATAGTATTTCTTCTTATATCCAAGTACTCCACTGTGTGTGGGGAGGGCAGATGTAGTATCATGCAACAAAACTACTCTTCTGTAGTTCAGCATGAACAGGTATTATTCCTACAAAATTACAAGGTTGCTTCCCACAAACTGATGAAAAACTGATTTGGGCTCTTACAGTCAGAATCACTGAGGTGGAGGTCTGAACAACACCTAACACCCCAGATGGGATTTCAAAAGGGCTTTGTACCAACAGATAATATTTAACAGGTTTAAGAGCAATATAATTGCTACAGTGGTCATTTTTACTGTTAAGGTAATATCAGAAAGCCTGATCAACTACAAAGGAGTTTATTAAATTAAAATTTGTCAAATGCTGAGTTATAATGCCTCACTGCAATATTATAAAATAAGCTCCTACAGTCTTAATGTTTTTTTCACCATTCATGCATAAAGAAAAATCTCAGTTCCTTATTCACATCTTTTCTGTATCCTATTTTCAAATGTTACACACTGAATATGAACTCCAAAGGAAAAAAAAAAAAGAATGCAACAATAACTAATAACAGTATTTTTAAGAGATGCTGAGAATGATCAGAGACCATTACAATTTAATTCAAATGCTAAAAAAGGTTACTGACTTGTACATCATTCTCCTTTTCATGTCTAAGAAAACTTTTCTTGTGTGAAATACTCAAAGTAGACGTATGTCCCCTGACATACATTATGTGCTACCCTTATTTCATTAGGAAATCAGATTATGAGTCTGGGTAGAATCTTGTGCTGTGTGCTTTTCTTAGACCTAAGCACTTTAATCATGTGATGCGTTGGACTTTATTTTGCAGAGAATGCCTTTTTCAAAGCATACTGGTACGCCTTGGCACTTGAAAATAAGCTCTTCTTACTCTCACTTTTGGTGATAGGTGAAACTTTGGTCACGTTTTCTTCAGGAATATATTTTTCTTGGCCTAGCTTTCTTTCTCTGTCTTCTCCTCTTACCTTTTTCTCTTTGTTCTTCTCCATTATCATAAACACAGGAGTTTCTCACCTCTTTGTTTCCTGTAGCCCTTTATCCTTTTCACCTGACCATACAATTTCCTTATACCCAGTTTCCAGATCTTCTTTGGCTCTACTCTCATCCCTCTTTTCCTCTTCTGAATCTCTCAGTCTCGTCCGGCCCTCTCCTTTCCTAAAAGAAACATATCTGCTGGCTTTTAGCATCATAATATCTTCTGTGCTTACTTCCGCATGAATATCCTATCAACTCTTTGTCTTTCATCTCTAAACTTTTTAGGCACACTGTTTATTCACTGTCTGGAGTTTTTTTTCTCCTGGACCTCTACAAGTCTGGTACAGTCCCTTGAGCTGTTCTTACCAGAATTTCTATTGACCACTTTCTTATTAAAGCTCAGCCATACTAGTTCTTCCTCACCTGGGTGAGTGTCATGCACCTCACTCCAGTTGTTCATACTCTTCTTGACATCTTGATCTCCTTTTGTGTTCACATCTCCGTCCTCTAGCAGCTCTCCTCTAATGTCTACTGATTTTAGTAGATAGTTTGTGTAGCTCACCATCTTTCATACTGGCATGCCCCTATAACTAACAGTATCATTGTTTTATCATGGGTTACCATAGATGGTCTATCTTTCTTCCAGATAGAATATTTCTTTTCTCAAACCAGGTGAATTTTTAACATTTTCTTCGATTGTTTGGGGTATTGAAAACCTCATCAGTGCAAGAAATGAGAATTTGCTTTTAGAAGGCAGAGAGTACCACAGCAGAAGCCAAGAGGGGTAAGGAAGACAACTGATAATTCCAGCAGTAAGGTGAAAGACAGCTTCTAATGAGGAGATAATGCAGTCAGGTATTAGAAGATGTCACAATAGGGAAAACGGAAGATGAGGAGCTAGACAAGAAGTATCAAGAGAGGTGATATAACAATTGAGAAGTGGAATGGTCGGGGATGGAGGCAATCTCTGGGAGCTGTTGTTGAACTGCAAAATCTAGGGTAGAAACTTTGATGGAACTAAGGTGCTAAGCTTCCAGTACAGGTTGGTGAAGAGAAGGTAACAGTGAGAGTGGAAAGGGTTGGGAAATGTAACATCTTAATTAGGAAGACAGAGCTCTTGAATGGACCTGGATGGACTTGAGGATATGAAGCTTTGGTAACTGTAGATGGAGAAATGGACAGTCTAGGCTGGAAGAAGGGAAACAGACCCTCTAATGCTCTGGCATAAGCTCATGAGGAGATGGGATTAGGTTGGGACCAAAAAAATACTCAGGAGAGTGGTTGGGGAAGGGAGACCTGTGAGATGAAAAGTCTAGTTTCGGCATGGATTAGGGCTGGACACATGGTGAAGCTATAATGTGGGGGAAATTAGTAAGAAATATGATGTGTTCATTCAGGAAATGAAACGGGAAGATCCCAGGACTGGTGTGTGCTGCTGAAGACTGGAGATGCAGATTTGGAGCAGGAAAACTGGAGGACCTAGAGCAGACCTGGGCTATGGGCTGAAGCAGTAAGTAGGATTTGAGCTCTGGAGTAAGCATCTGGAGGATGGGAGTTACCTGGCTGGGGTGGGATTTTGCAATGAGGTAGGAACTGTGGGACAGTAGAAACAATAGGTAGCTTGGTGGGGTGAACCAAGCTCTGTGATGCAGCGAGAGAAGCATAGGTCCATGGACCAGTCCAGTAGCAGGGCAGCAATAACAAGGATTCTGGCAGTGAGGAAGGGACAAGAAAGGGACAGAGCGAACACACACATACATGTCCTAAGCCCCTGTACAATCTTCTTCTCTTTTACTGCTGGAAACAATGACAGCCCCAGGCCTGTCTAGATGGGGATGTGCAATAAATCTGTCCTTCCCTAAAAATCAAGCAGAGGCTGTTATGGCAATAGCAATTCATCCTGACTTACTGAGAGGAGGGGCTTAATGATAAAAGATATCTCCCTTTCAGTTTGACATCTGATCTCTGAAGAGCTGCCATTGCATATGGAATATTACCAAAACCTTGGAATAAAAACAATACTTGCAAAATAGACTTGTGATTTTAGAAGGTCCAGATTAATGGAGAGGAAAAGCACAGCTGGGAATCTAGACTTCTGTAAAATAGGTAATTCCAACCTTTCTAAAACAGGTAAGAGAAAGATTTATTAAGTATTAATTGCACCTGTATTCTCCAAAGCAATATAATTTGCCTATTTAGCTATTACGCACTGATTGATACCTACACATACGTATAAATTTCATATTTTTTAAAGTACTTTTTCACAAATAGTGTCTTCAGCAGGCAAATTCTCACACCTTAACTATCCTTCTACTGTAGCTTACGTTTGCCATATAGGACTTCATTTAAGTACATGAACATTGTTTTTTAATGAAAGAAATAGTAGCTTAATCACAATATAGATTGAGTCATTAAGAAGGGAATTGGATATTAGCACAATCTACTTACCTAATTGCATACAAATACTGCTGTATATTACTTATTGTTCCCATCGTACTAGTATGTGTAATATGCTAGATGCAGTTGAACTAAAATATGTGAAATGTTCCACTTAACACTCACATTGCATTATATCCTTTCATATCAATTCAGCTGAACTTAAAAAGGGAATGCATGAGATGATTACCTAACAGGTGAAATGTTAAAGTAAAAATTGCAAATAATGATTGATATTTTTATAACAAAACCTACAACTCATGTAAAATGCTTTATTAATTTGATGAGCCAAAAGGGTACGCTTTGAGAGTAACAGAAATATATTGGTGTATGAATAGTCAGAAATGTGGAAAACCTATTTGGTAACTGGAATAGATTTGTACTAGATTCAAATACAGTTGCAAACAGGCAAACAAAATTCTGAGTAATCCCAGGAAATAAACGAGTTGATGTAAAATCAGGACTTCTACTATGAAGAATAAGAAGAAAAACAGAGCAAGGGGCAGAGAGAGTAGATAAGAAATAAAATTACATAAAATAAGCTGCTAACTCAGCTTAATCTTTTTTTTTTTTTTTTACTTCAGGCCAAATTAATCTCTTATTATGTCCCTGTTAAAATGTCAAAACACCCACAGGTATGACAGGGAAGAATATGGTTCCTAGAATATGGTTCCTATTTACACATACAAAATTAGATATTTTTTAAATAAACATGCTAAATCTAATGGAACTTTGCATATACAAGTTAAAAGCCGTATGAATGACTACCAGTGATAAACTGTGAGCTACAATTCACTATATATACAAATCAAGATTCTCTTCAGTGACACAATGTTTCTTAGCTCTAAAAGAAGTTTTCTCAAAAAGTTGTTTTTTACTGAAACAAGGTCTTCTATCTACTCCAAGTGATACACATGGAAGTGGAGACTTCAGGATTTAGGGCTCTGCAACAAACCAGGCAGTAAATCAGGTCATCACTGAAACCCTCTTGACTTTCTATAACAGTGTGCACATGCTGCTGGGGACAGAGGAGCTTGTAGATAGTAATTGTCAGAGAGTCACAGATCTTTCAAGTATTTCTTTCAAGTCCAGAGACAACCCAATAAGCAGATACAAAAACTGAATCAATCAAACAGATCACTTTTTTAAAAATTAAAACTTTTCTAGTATCTTTAGATCCACAGCCCATAAGATGGTTGGATTCATTAGACTGCTGCTTACAAGAGAAACATAAAATTCTTACCCATTAATTGAGCATGCTTTCTTGTCTTGATTATGAGTGATGGAGCCCATAATCTTCAACTCTTTCCTGGGCAAATGTGTAGTATTCTAATATTAAGCCCTTAATCAAATCAGAGGTATTCCTTTAATTTTGGATGCCCCTCATGTGATTGCTTTTTTTGTCCATTCAGTGTTCATGGCCATCTCCATCAATGGCTGAAACTGTTCAGCTGAAAAATTAATCTCAGTAAATTGGAAGTATTTTTTAGCC